GGTTGAGTGGTCTGAGCGCTACGCCTTATTTCATCCTCTTTCAAGATCACCATTGTCAGCCAAATACTAGCAGCACAGCATTTATCTGCCAAAATAACTGAGAAAAAGGCACTTACGGTGAGTGAAAAGAAAAAGAACATATGGGAACTTATAGCCGAATAATCTCAATGAGCTCAAGAGGGCTCAGTGTTTAACTCACTGCCTGTAAGGTCAATGGTTCGAACCCGACTTGTGCATCTCAACTTTTCCTGTCTATGCTTGGGAAACCTGGAATTATCTCATTCCTCATGCTTCCTTCAGGTGGCATGGCAGCTAGGCACCAATAGGGTATTACAGCTGATCGATTTATTTTTTCTGTCACCCAGAATGTTGGTATAATTCTTTACAGTAATCCAAACTAGGTTTTATTGGTGTCCTTTAGGCCACGTCCACTCATGGCTGACTAAACATTTGAGAAAACCCTTCACGACACAATCCAAAGGATTGAAAATATCACTTTGTGGAGTCACTTATCTAAGTTAACTAGGTTGCCTGACACGGACGTATTAGGGAAGTGGATAGAAAGGCGATGTATCCATGGGAATTATTAATTATTTAGACAAAGTGACGTTGAGAGGCTGAAACGTAACATCCATCAGTGGGTGCTCTAGCTCAGAATTTTCCGCCTCGCTAAGCCTGATTACTTCAAACTTTGTAGTGTCACTGTTGGGCACCAGTACTAATATAGCACAGATAATGTACAAAGCCGTACGTCCGTCACTTTGAGTATCCAGTTGGTTTTGATGGTCTGAGGAGGGTTCTGTCGTGACTTTTGGATGCAACTGCTACTACTGCCGTTGCTGGCGTGAAAAAGCCCACCTGCTTATCCATCGCTGTCATCATGGTGACCGTGTAGTGTGACTGACAACAGCTGGTCGGTTAAGTGGTCCAACTAAGGACTATTGACCATTTCCCCACCATGCGAAAATATGTTGGGATGGTAACTTTAAAAAGTGGTCCTATGAACTATTGAGCAAAGCCTGGCGCCTTCCAACGTCGTTGTCTATTTGAGCGAGAATAAAATCATAGTTTTTACGATAAGGTGAGCTTTAGGGAACTCCTCTTGGCTAATTTGTGAATTCACTTGATTAATCCTGAGCTGGTTATTTCCGCACTTGAGTGACTCAAAACTTAGCTGCCTAGGTGAAAGTCTGTTTCTGTGTAAGGTGTCATTCAGCTTGTGTCTTTGGCATAAAATTTGACTTTCCACACTTGCACTTTTATAAATGGTGTGAAGAATCACACTCAAGTAAGTATGGGAAAAGAAAAGCAAACTAATCTTGTGAATTTCCAAAGAGGATGTTCATTTTTGTGTTTTTGTTGTCAAACTCGCGGTCTGTTGACATAAGCTGGTTTTTGGAATGTTTCTTTGAAAATCGAAGCGGCATGTAAGAACAGTCCCTAATCATGATGTCTACCGACACCACATGTTTCTGTTCACGGACATCTGGGATGATCCCTGGAGGGTTCATCAGTATTTGTGATCCTGAACACAAACAGATTGTATTTGCACCAAAAATAGAGACGAATTTAGACCTCAATGGTGCATTCCGATAGCCTGTCAAAAACCGTATTGTGCAGCTGGAGATCGATTTGTTGAAAACGAATGATCTAAAAGCTCCAATTGTTTTCTAAAATCATATTCAATTCCTTACAATCGGTATTCCCAATGCGAGGTTATCCTTTCCCCCCAAGGGTTTTATGATTCATGGAGAACAGTAAAGACTTCTCGACGACCTACGACTCTTCCCGTCTCTCTTGGGGCTCATCAGACAGGTGCAGTTCTCGACTTTCCGTCAGTCTTTTCATTCTTCTTGAACACGAATTGTATGAAATTCGAAAAATGCACTCATTTGCGTACCAATTTGGTTTTTAAGAGAAGCTCAATTGAATCTCTTCTTCAATTGCCACTCAAAGGCTGCCTCAAGCTTTAGCTGTTACAGTATTCGAGATATTGTAGTATATTTTCATAAGAGAAACTACTCACAAGGTTGCTGAAAACTTTTCAATGGCTCACGAGCTATTCGGTCCTTCCAATTCGGGCTCATCAGATGGGCGTAGTCCCCGAGCTTAGCAATAGCCTTATGTTCTAACTGAACATCAAACTGTACGGAATTAGTGAAATACATTTGTTCAGATGTAAGACCCTTTCGGTGCCTAGGTGCCATGCCAACCGAAGGAAGCACGAGATATGCCATGTTGCTCAAGCCCAGACATAGAAAAATGAGATGCCAAGGTCGGGTTCGAACCACGGTCCATGCGGTCAGTGAATTCGTGCTCTAACCACTGAGCCATCCCACTCTCATTGTTGAAATACGCTGATCTAAAGTATAATGTGCGCGAGAGATCATTTGGCATTTAGTTGGGGCCTCCGCTAACAGCAACTTAGACTTTCATCAAAATCACCTGTCGGTTTTTTTTCCAACTAATTTTTTTGATAGAGTTGATTTTTGTTCATCAGATCTTTAACATCTTTTACATCAAGCGACTACCCAAATCGTGATCAATTTGTTGATGTTAGTGGAGTAAATTTTCGGAAGTTTAATGGGATTTGTGAGAATACTTGGTAAACAAACCGCTTATCTGAAAGGTGTAGTTGCTCCCTTATTCATCCGGGGTGCGTAGAACCTCAACAGTGGAAAGTCTCAACTTCGAGGAAGCCCATCATAAAACAGAATGTTCTTTTCCCGACGGTTCATAACTGGTGCTATCCCCATGCATACGAAGGACTAGACCTACTCACCAAGTTTTGGGTGACACGATAATTGCGATAGTTGGTGGTGAAAGCGTCCGTCCACAACCGTTGTTCCCGTTTTGGTTGGGTCGAGTTGAAGCACTGGGGTGTTCTTGTACTCTACGTAGCGCTCAAGGCTAATGTGTGAAAGGCTTCCTCCTAGTCTCTTTGGATGTGTCGCAGTTTTTTAGGCAACATTGGCGTGTTTTTTACCCATCCAGTCGCTAGCCAAATTGTCTTGAAGAACAAGTAACTGCAGCAACCGTCAGTGCTAAAGCAGTTGGTAGGCCGTAGCTTAGAGCCAGGTCGTTGAAGGATATTAGCCGCGTGAGACGCGTCCTGAAGTCTGGCTTAAAACCACAAAATGTCATCCAGATATCAAATTTCTCACTCTAAGCGTTTGAAAATTCACTCCATGTGATGGTTTAGCGGCGAATAACGATTCAAGGAACCACCATACATTTGTTTCCGCAATCGTCTGTTAGAAGTGAGCTGTCTTCCTCCATAACCCAAGTACAGGTTAGTAGCTCTGAGCAAAAATCATTTCACAAGACGAGTGGAACTTCCATGTGAGAAGTCGTCACTCAAAGAACCAGTTATCGCTTGACCAGCTGGTGCGGATCGTGACTGAAGCATGAATGGCTCTTTATGCTGTCCAAGTGACCGAACGTTCAACTCTTTGGATCACTAGCCGGGTTGGTCGCGAGCTCGAGACCCCCTGAGGTTTCATGAGATACGCACTGCTGATAATTCCTAGTAAGGGTAAAACAGCTGTTCAGTAGTCCTAGGTTCCTTAGCGCAGATCGGAAAGAAATCTCAGCTGAAAATCCCAAACCTGTTGGAAGTAGAATACAATCACTGAACGAGGTAGAGGTTCTAAGAAATGTGCGGATATGGTGTAAAAGGTCATTTACTGACACATCATTGCATCTAACAACCGGGACAAAATGTTTCACGTAGAATCAGATAAGTAGCTTCAATTCACTTCCTTAGATAATATGGTGAGGTAGTTTTATCATCTTCGTTGACGCACGAAGAATAAAACTCACGATAGCATAGGAAGGAACAGTTGATGTATCAGGGCCATAAAATCATAAAACCATCACTTTGTTTTGGAAAGCAGAGTGAATCAGATAAGTGATGATGAAATATTGACGGAATGACAGTCACCTTAAAAACTTGTATGGTCCAAAATAAAAAATATTGCATAGACATAATGCATTACTCACGGGGTTGCTGATAAATCTTCGACAGCTGTTGATATCTCGATTATCGTACCAACTGGTACGGCATATTCAATTGGTTAAGAACAGCATAAAAGGGAGATAGAGCTGTGTTCCAGGTGAGTCTGCCGTCGAAAACAAACCCATATGAAACTGAGTGTATTCCGTTGAGAAATATTGTAGCTAAGTTGTCTGTCTCTTCCAAAGAAATCATCCCTCTTTGCAATTTGGAATTTGGTCAAGTGGTACGATACAGAAGAAAGCTATTTTCTGCTGCTGGTTCCCATGACTTGTGCTTCGTAGTTGGTGTGGCTTCCTTTTTCTCATCTCTCAACTCTTGCATCCATCTGGCATAAAAATATGCGCTTGCGGGCCACTACCGTCGGAGCTTTGGTTTTGTTTACTCGTAGGACAAGACTGGATAGAAATGGTTCACATGACCATTCTAAATGTTTCCATTGTTGTGAATTTTGATGCCACTCTCTTATGTTTCAAAAAAAAAACAGCCTGTAGTTAGGACTCCCTGTCCAACTCGGTTTTGTGCACGGAGATGATGGGGTTTTTGTCTACTTCGTGCAGCCTGGTTCAGCACACGTCCTGTGTATCCGTTTTTTCCCTGCCGAAAACCATAAGTAGTGGGCTCATTCTCAGTCCACGACTTTTCAGCCATTCGGCTGGCCAATCAGCCGTGAGATGAAACTGCACGTAGAGTGTCGTACCATTTATCTCACAGTCACACAAATCAAGTCACGTGAATAGATCTTAACCGGCTGCTCTAGGGACGACTTCTCAGCTGATGACCCACTTGGCGTGTTCCAACTGAGCAAAGTTCATCTATCAAAATGAGACAAGTAATATTTTGTGGCCACAAACTTTTCTACATAGTAGAGCAAACTACAACAAACGGGGCTTCGTAAGAAAGCAACTGACCTCGATGACATTAAAACCTGTCACTATGTTGGCCCAGGTCCTAAAGCGTACACTCATTTTTATGTATGATTCAGGGCCACCAACAATCCAACCGAATCCTGTAGTTCATGCCAAGCTTGGACGAACGGCACGCTTGCGATGTACTGTCAACTCGGTTCCTCAGCCACCTCTAGACCAGACACATTGGTATTTTAACGGACGGCCTGTTCGACAGGACAATCAGTGAGTTGGTTCATCACTTGTTTCTAGATTTCCATTCACCTCCTGTTCGCTTCGTCTTTTTTTAAATTTGAACCTCGGGTGGAAACTTCAAATGCGTTTTTTCACTCGTTTCAAACGACAAACTTTGGCTTATCCAAGGTTCCATTCTAGCATTTGGTTCAGTTCGTCACACCATTGCACCGACCGACAGTCCAACGCTTAATGAACTCCCGCTGGGCTTCAAGTCTTGACAGTTCAGTGCAAAATAATTCTCGAGAAGTAGTTTTTAAGTGGACAAATAGTGCAGGTATGAATTAGAATTCCGTCCTCCGAACTGAGAGTCTGGAATTTCAAAGGCTGTCGTGATTGTCAACTTACAAATGTACCAGTACACCGGATTGATTTTTCTGCTCTTTGGATGCCGAAAATGTCATTTCGGAAACATCTGTGTACAGAATTCTAAGTTGGTTTTTGTAAACTATAGAATTTTTTTCTCTAAATATTTTCTATGCAATGTTATGGGATAGACAAGTAGCGGACCTCTGATTGGCTGAGATGACCATTGTAAAGAAACGTCAGAAGAAATGCCTAGCGCGGCTGAAAAAGAATCAGCGGTTTTTCTGTCCTTTCCGTCTCTGTTTGGTATGGAGGAATGATGATCTGAATAAAAAACATCACACCTCACTCTCAGCAAAAAGTAGTTCCTTATAAAGACGGTGGATCGAATTTTGCCTAAACTTTCCTGTTCCGTCATCCAACTTACACTTCCCTCCCTCAAGTTACAACGTACGAAAGTGTCCAAAGGTCACCAGCTCTTCACCTTGTAGTATCACACTTTTTGAGTCTCCCGTGAAAACCATTTTTTTCGCAAATGAGTGTATTTGTCGAAAAAAGTCAACTCTCGTTTGTTTAGCCCCGGACGCAGCTTTCATACAAATGTAATTTTTCTAGTACTGAACGAAAATTGGCACGTGTCTTGAGCCCTAAGCAGTACCCAGCTGATCAGCGGATCGCCACACTGTATTCCTCTTTTAGTGGTTCTCACATGGTCTTGTTGTACCGTGGGTGGCCCTCTATTGGTTACGCCTGCACTTAGCCTGCCAGACTACGCGATAGGGAGAAGACAGAGAACTCGGGACACGGCTGAATGGTCAGGACAAAACATACAAAGCATCTGCCTAAATATATAGGATGACTAAATAGCCAAATATGGTTGTCCACTTGTTCGTTCTGTACAGCCAATGGCGGTGTTTCGGTCATGAACACTTTCAGGCCCACTATGCTGGTCGTCTGTTGCTAAGGCGTGTTTCGTGGGAGACGCCAACTCACCTACTTTCCGGACGTGTCGTAGCGATGGTGACCTTGGTGATGCGTCACTCTCCGCACATGTGCTTTTTTCATGTCTGGGCGCGTCCTGACAGGTCGAGGAATACTCTGGAGGGTCCATCAGGGTTTTCGCTCCTTCTGGGGTCCATCATTTAGACTAAACATCGAAATAGGCGGGTATTGACGAGAGATTCAGTTGAATTTCAGCTGGATCCACCGTTCATACATAACTTCAGTATGATGTCCAAATAAGAAAAGGGGGGTGAGGGCTATGTCTGCCTGATGAACTTGAAGAAAGCCTTATCTGGTTGTGGGGCTATCCAGAGATTTCATCGACCCTAGGAGCGGAATTGAAGCTTATCCGAATATCTTGAATATCGCTCTAACCGAAACACGGGGTAACCTTTGTTTAGCGTGTTTAGCCGATGAAAATAATAAACAGTGCGAATTAGAGGATTCCATTTTTTAGCTTTTAGTTGGTAAAGAGGTTTGCAATGCCCAAGCAACAGGGACATTTGATTGTCCAGAAGCGGATGGACAAAAGAGAGAAATCGTGCGGGTACGGTCAAACGCCAAGGGGTTTTTAAATGAATAGTAGTAAAGAGCGTGTCAACCCTGAACTGTTCTGGTATTTGGACTTAATTTGGACTGGACCCGGCCATTTGTGCACTCGTTCAGGTGCTTAACGAATCTGTGTAGATGAGCGATGCAGGACACAACCTCTAGTGTGTCACTTAAAGGTCAAATGTTGTGGGTTGAATGGGGAAAATAGGAAATCCAGCAAACCGGTCCCTCCCCTGTTCTAGCATGCATCGGTGGAAAGATGAATAGTAACCACGTCACCCTGATCACGTCTCACTAAGCTTGACAATTTAATTATGGGGAATGAATATTTTGAAGGAATGAGCTTTTAACCTTGTACAAGTTGAGACCCCCTTTTGGCACTCGATAATGCAAGGTATCACTGCCGTATCATTAATCTAGCATATCAAAAATACAGAGTGAATAGGTGACTCAAGCAAATCTGTCATTTTCCTTCATAATTCAGATGTGTTCTTCTGAACCAATCAGATGCTAGATTGGCAAAGGGCAACATTCCCCGACTCGAAACGGACTTACTTAAGAGATTCAGATTTCTTAACTGAAAATCACGAGAAGACTCCAACTTATTTGAATTTTTCTTGGTCTTACAGCTAATTTTTTTCTACAAGACTGCCACAGAAGTATAGAAGCAATTGAAAAGCGTTACCATTTCTACCACTACGGAATGTCCCTGTTGGTAACGAGCTCCAAGTTGCAGCCTAAAATCATCAGGTGTGCCACAACCGGGGGTGAAAGGAGGTATCTAAGTGCTTTCATATCCGAATCAGAAGGTTCTTTCAACTATAGACATATTACACTACTCACAAGGTTGCTGAAAACTCTGACAGCCCACGGTCGGTTTCGCCCTTCTTAAGGCTCATCAGGTAGGCGCAGTCCCCGAGTTTCTCCATCAACCTTATGTTTTACTTGAAACTAAATTGCACGAAATTAACGAAGTACACTCATTTGAAATCAAGTTCGATTTTGCGGGAGACTCACCTGGAATCCAGCTGAATCTCTCGTTTCCAGGCAACTGGATGTGCTACACCAGGCCGCCTCATGTTTCAGTAAACGAAGCTACAGCGTTTGAATCGACCGCAAAAGCATAAATCCTTTACAATTTTACTGCCCAGTGGGTCGCCAATCGACAAAAATAGCCTGGTGCATAGTCAACGCATAGGTCGTGTACTACTACAAAGTAGACGCTGTTACCACCCTTCTGATAGACAAACTAGTTGTACCATGATGTTTTAGACTCTGTCTTCGAAGGAAAAAACGGAGTTCCGCAACCAGAATCTCCTGGGACGCAAAACTTTAATGCCGAAAACTAACCATTAGGTTGATTTCCATGATCCAGGATTTTGGTCTTCTAATGGGATACAAAAGCGGACTTTAAAAATTGGCACACTCTAAGCAACTAGCAGCTAGTCCGTGGTGAATACTTACATCCACAGAAAACCCATTTGAATAAAATGTTTGCTCCCAAATTCATCACTCATCCTGATGACCACGAGGTCTGACATTCTTATCAAGCAGTCCACTAAAAACTAATCCAGGTTTTTCTGTACCGAAACTAGCACTTTCACTGAGGGAACGACATCTTAACGCACAAATCATGTCAAAACCTAATTACCAAAGGTTTATGTGGTATTCATCACCTCACGATCCATTGGGAAGAGGTAAATCGATCATGCCTTCTTTTTTGTGTAATCGAGTACTCGTTTTGCGCGCCTCATTATGGATGCTGAAAAATTCCAGAAAGTTTATCTATCTTCTGGGTTTTTTTACAATCTGAAATGGGTCGATAACCTCGTTAGGCGCAGGGTATAACGCGTGCAAGTGACACCTCTTCTCCTATTCCTGCTCCAGTCACACATTCGAACGCGAAGAGTTTCTCGGTGGAGTGGTACTCATATTACAAATCGCTCACGTGATGAGGACCGACTATGGGAAGTACAACTGTACCGTTAGAAATGGATACGGATCTGACTGGAAACTGATTGAACTTAGTCAACAAGGTGAGTGGTATGACAATGATGTGACTGGTCTAACTAATCAACAACAAACAGTTGGGATTTGATTCATTATGGGTTAATGTCACACTGTGTTACACGATTGCACCAGATTGCTTGCTATAAATCCGCCAGACAGTTGGCTGAAATGTTTTTGATGACAGATTCGAAAATCTGATACCAAATGAGTATAAAGCCGCTCCATTCCTCCGTTCTGTAGGCCGAACCGCAGCGAAGCAACTGTGTTATAAGTCGTCCGACGTCTCATGCACTGTTTTGTGAGAATCTCGAAACATCCACGATAGTTTTCTCCGTTCGTATATTTAAAAACCAGCTTTACTGACGATACTGCTTCAGTTGTTTTGTTCATTTAAACAATTTAATAGGGTTCCGGGCTAAGTTGTGTTATGGTATCGTGTGACTGTTAGAGAAGCCTCGCGGAGAGTAACTGCTCCTCTTGAGAGACCACAACAAATCATACAATATATACTACTTAGTTAGAATTTCTCCTTAAAGAAGGGCTACCCCAGGAGTGGCCTAAGTTGCTTTGTAGCATAAGGGACAAAGAACCATCGGCGATATTTTCCAGCTCACTGATAGTTGAGTTTTATTCAGAACTCAGAATCCCTTCAGTGTGTAGCTGCCCCGTTTCCCGTATCCCCAAAGCAACATTTGATGCGCGCTGACTGACAATGCCATCATCTTCCCCAAAGCTTGCCTCTATCGTCCTCTCTTCAACATGGCTAAATATATGCCGATATCCTCTCATGGCAAACTGATTTCCTACTCTCGATTCTACCATAAATAGTTTGGCGACTGTTTATCGTCCTTTCCCCACAGCCTGTTGGATGGACGTCCAACCTTCACTTTACTTGACCTGACAGCAATTTTCTGTTTCACCGGATCAAAATCCAGTTTTGGTTGAGTTCACCTTATCGGCAAGAGGCGCTGCTATCTGACTAAAACGTTACACCTTAGCTTTGTTTCGCCCGAGTTAAACCGGAAATCAGATGGGCAAAGTCCAAAGACAAATAGTGTCATATCCTAGTGCGTAATGGTAGAAGCCAATAAATCGCGGCGACTTTATGACTGTTTTCCGCTCCCTGCTGACCCATTTGTCTCGACGTATTTGCAAGTGACGAGATGAACATTTTTCACCTTATTATACACCATCGCTTGGTTCTCCACACGGAAGGCGAGATGGCCCAAGTGGTCAGAGCGGAATTTACTGACCGGAAGGTCCGTGGTTCGAACCCGAACTCCGCCTCTTCACTTCCCCTGTCTAGGCTTGGGCAACCTGGCAGTATCCCAGCCCTCGTGATTCCTTCGGGTGGCATGTCAACTAGGCACCGGAAGGGTGCTACAGCTGAACGCTCTCCATGTGAGTAGTAACAGACTGGAAACTGTCCCAGACGCGCATGACGGCGACAGGAGACTAATCGTTACCATTTGTATAAGTCCGCTAAACTGGACCACTTTCTTTATACGATTGTCAGTCCCTGTAGAATCCTACTCTTCTTGTCAGTCAAAAATGTAAACCTTCCGGCCGTGCTTAGTTCCTAGGCGACGCAAATAAATTTGGTCGCTGCTAGGCGCCAACGGTTGCAGCTTTTGCAACAAATTCCCACGTACTTTGTTTCACAAATACTGAATTACTAGCATACGCGTTTCGTGCATGCATAATGACTGTCTTCTAAAAATGGCGATTTCAAGCATTCCTTTTTTCAACATCACAGCTTGCTGACCAATTACACAGTACGTATATGGTTTATAACAAAATAAGAAAATGGTTCAGCTGTAACGCCTCTTCGGTGCCAAGCCACCCGAATGGACCATGCGGACTGAGATACTGCCCAGTTGCTCAAGTCTAGCTACGACCACGCGAGGTGCAGAGTTCGAGTTCGAACCACGGGCCCTGTGGTCTGTAGGTCCGCTGCCTAACCACTGAGCTATCTCAGTCCAGCTGATTGCAGTAAACTCTGCATTTCTCATTCTCCTAGGGACTCAACAGATTGAGCTACTTCCCTAAACTCCATAAGCCTGAGTTTCTACTTTTTCTAGCAAGCGTGATGAACCAACCCTAATTTCCCGCGAACTTTGGCTCCCATCTACTCGACTTATAACTGGAAAAGGATACTAGTTTGAATCGAATGTGTACTCTCAGCAGAAGTGGCGGAGGGTTGTTTTAAGAGGCCTCTGTGTTGTGCCTTGTCGGACGATCGTGCAATTCAGTGTCGATCCCTTGGCTTCCTGCTCCGCCCACTATGGTATATCAAAAGGTACGGTAGCTCTACACAACCTTTTATGGAGACAAAAGGAGAACCATCACATATGTATTTATAGAGTGATCACAGCGTTCCGCAAGGTCGTGCTAGAAGCACCGTGAGGGGGGCGAGAAGCGTCCAGTCAAGGATGTCCGACCCGGATTGGCTGGCAATCTGACCAATCAGGGCATGCCTTCGTTTGGTCCGCCTCCTGCACGCGACATCCGTCCAAATGATGTGGTGTTCGTTTGTTGGGGGCGACTGGCCTCCGAACACTCTGTGAGACAGACTGCGAGACTGTGCTCAGAAGACACTGAGGTGAACGATGCAGAAATGGGAGATCTTCATTACCGTTGCTATAGATCACTCTACGTGTAGCATATAGTGTAAACCGTCCCAAGCATCCCTCAGTAATAAGGAAGAAATTTTTCCGATTGCTGACAAGCCGAAATTAATAGAGAGCGTTATCCACCGTGTTAACGGAGCTTACTTAAACTGCTTGTCCACCGCCTATAGGTCATCGTCGGACTACTCAACTTAAATGCTCAGTGTTGTGAGTGAAGTACGCACTGTCATCCATAAGCGTGGTGTCTGTTGGCTTCCTTCGTTTTTCACTATGAGTTCCAGAAATGAAGCTGCTGGGCAGATAGGATGTTGTGTTGAAAGCCTGTAGATTTTAGATCTCGCAGGTAGTTAAAACACAGACAACTTACAGGATGGCCATAGTTTACGTGTCATACTAAAGAGCACGGAGAACATGGGTTTGAAGTGTCCTTGAGATGCTATCATTCCAAGTATACCTACGAATTGTTGTCGCTCAGTTCTCATATTGGTCGAATTCCGTTTGCTTTCTTTCTCTTTCCCTCCNATTCCGCTACGTTTATTGGTGGATCCGCTATCGCTGTTGGAATTCTCATCGTGGTCGGACTGATTATTCTCTGTGCTTGTCGTCAAAGGATCTGTGGAGGAAAGTATACAAAAGGTAGCTGTGATTGTCTATCCTCATCACTTGCTCTCTCCGTATCTTTGTGCGGTTATTGTGATCATCACCAGAGGTAGCGACATCAGTCTTTACACTGCCGTACAATTGCAAAGTTGTTTTAATCATGCTTAAACCTTGAAAAGAAGAGAAAAAATGAGCGATGAAGAGATTTGGGGCCAGCTGATTGCCAGCATTCTCCCAAACGTTCAGTCTGGAAAGTAACTGACGGCACACACACCACTGTGATTCATTGATTGCCACTTAATGCAGTCGCTCCAGCCGATCGCATGAAGGCCATGGCGAACCCAGCAATACCTCAACTCTTCATCATCTCTTTGACACTGTTCTTCCAAGCTATACATTGCCCACCTCGCGGTTGGTGCCATTCTGAAGGAGGAACGCAGCGCAACACTCGTCTGGGCTCAGGCACCTCAGCAGATGATACAGTTGTCTTGATTGTTCTACACGGACGAATGTATTCCCCCTTCAAGAAGTGATAGTCCATGAGGGTCTGTGGAAGATCAATCCGAAACGGAAGATCCAATGTGCAGTGTGCTTCATATTCATGACTGGGCTTCATATCGGATTCGACTACACATTTAAATAGGATGAATGGTGCTGTCAGGATTCACGGGAGTTTCTAATGAGAAAGATGTTCCTGCCTTTTTGTAGGTTTCCATATCATGTCTGATAGCCCATCTTTTGGAACCAGTCATAGTCGTCCCTTCTGGTAGGCCACGCACTAAAGTGCCACTTTTATGCAATGGCGATACGAAACAGTTCGTTTTCAAGACAGCCGTGATTTATGTCTGCAATGTGCATCCTTTCCATTTCGGTCTGTTCTGTCGCACCAATCTTTAGCGGTTTACATCTTATTGGGACAGTTTCGGTGCAACCTTTTCTGCGGTACTGGAGTCAGCCTACTGTGGGTCGATACTCTCCGTCCCAACTTCTTTTGAGGAAGATGATTTGCGTCTTCTTCGATACATAAGATACATTGGTTATGTCTTTAGGTGAAACAGCTACACCAAAACTGGCAAACCGTTCAACTGGGTTGGACAACCAATCAGACCAGAAGAAGACAGCATATAAGCAGACCAATCAGGAGGAAGCCGTCCGACGAGCCAACCGGAGGCAAGGTAACCTAACCACAGGGCAGCACAAATCGCAGACGGACCAATGAAATTATGACAAAGCTGTTCCTTAACCAGTTGGTCACATCAGGAGATATCAATTACTCTCTTCTGAACTGCATAAGCGCAGGCAAGTGAGGAGAAAGTACCCACTCAACCGCTCACTGATGGTGCCTTTACGATTGGTGGCGAAAATTTCGCAATAAAACTGCCACGCTTGGCAAACAGATCAACAGCCAGATGATCCACAACCAGTTAACTAACATGAGTTACTAACATTTCAAACCGGTTGGCTGTTTACTCGGTGCGGTCGAGTGTAACTCAACGGTAAGAGGCGCCGGAACGATCATGGGTTTGCGGAGGTAAATGGTGATAGCCTCAAAATTCATGGACCTATCTTGTCCGGGCGCTTGTGGTACCTGCTCCAAGGTTTGAAGTGCAGCCCTTCGTTTAAAAACATGCCTCATTTCGACTAGACATGATAATGTGGCTCCCACCTTCAATTCGGGAAATTTTTTTTCAGGCATCGTACGAGCGGTACTTCGCTTTCGAGTCTCCAAACTCTGTGAACCATTCTGAATTGTTGTCACATCGGTATTGTTCCTTTATTATTGCCCGTTTGGTTGCATGTTCACTTTCGAATATAGTCTTTAATTTCATTAGTTTCGATGTCCCGTGCAACATACTTTGAATTATGCCACAGTCCTTTGGGACTTCAAAACAATTTTAGACACAGAATGGTGCTTTGACTGAGTCTACCAGAGTTGAGCATTCAACACTATTACCCATCTCATAGATGGCCTACATCGGTTATCTGAAATCTGTAACGACCGTGATCTACGGATGCATCTCCACGAACTGACATGTGGTCTATCCTACGGCCCCATTAATGTGCGATTGTGATAGGTTGCTTCGGACATCTTCAACGGCCCCAGTTGATCGGTGTCACTTGCCATCCCGTCGAATGAATGTACCGATTCGGGTGTTGTCTCCGGAGTAGAGGATCATGACGCAATCATCCAAGGAACTGCACCGTTGCAAACTGATTTAACAGCCACTCATCTGGTCTGTTGCTGAATGTTGTTCTACTAACCAATATTGTGAATTTTCCTACCACAGCATCGCTGATGCCGTTCATCTCGATATAGCTTGATTTACTGAACTACGCATAGGCTATCGGGCCACTGCTTTATACGGCAAGTTCAGTTTCAATCTCAGTTTTTGGAAAATTAACCACATGTGTGGATAGGTTTCCTCTCCTCACACATGATATTTCGTGGGCCATTTTGAAGTGGTTATAACGCGCTCACCCAACCTGTAAGATGGTCAGTGTTCAACTCTCCGTATTGCCATGGATATACTCTGCCTTTGAATCAGAGTAAGGGAACAACTAGACCCTTTCCTCTGTTGGAATAATCAAATTAATTGTAATAGCACACAATGAGGACTGTTTAAACGACGGTGATAAGAATGCGACTTATACCCACTCGTGACTTGGAGAGTTGCCCATTTGATCTGGGAGACCAACCTGAATCTATCTCAGGCATTTAGCCATTGAAATTGCCTATTTCACAAACATTAGATCGCGATTTTCCCTATATCTTGTGGCATTAACTTAGCTATATCACCCGTTTGTCTTTTCGTCAAACAGCAGGTCGTCAAAACCAAAACAGCAGTACATCGATGCGGCCAGTGCAAGCCCCGTTCTCCGAATATGGGGTGATTAATTCGGAATTCAAAGCCCCCTTGTCCAGTCAGAATGGGTCTTACCGCTCGTCTTACAGTCCATGGTACCCAAATGCGACAGTACAACCACAGACATCATATATTGGTTGTGGCTCGGACACGGATGAGCAGGTAATCTTGCTGTGCTTACTGCATTTCAAATAAATTACGCTACTAACCGCATTTGAGTAGTTCGAATACTAAAGGATCGCTGAACCAGTCAAGCGCGCCAGAGAAATCTAGTTCTTCGAATCTAGTCCGTAGATGAGTTACACTACCTTCTGAGACACGCTTCCTGACGAATTCCCTTTTCCTCCCCCTCCAATTTCAGCGTTCCGTAACCAATGGCCCCCCGAAATTCAGCCAGGAGAAATATTTCTATGATGACTCCAAGGTTGACACTTGCCCAAACTCGTAAGTCGGAAGCGTTATTTCATCGGAAATGGCATCGATTGAACTCCATGAGGAGAGCACTCATAATGGCTTACATTTGAAGTCGTCATTAATCCACGCTCTCGTGTTCAATAGCATTCGTCGAGTGTACCTCGAATATTTATCAGAGCTTCATTCGGAGCGGTATTTTCTCTAGTGTGGAATAAAAGAGTAAATTTACAAAATGACTAACTTAGCCCTGTATTAAGAGAAAGTTAACTTGTGGTACTATGGGTATTTTGGAACACACTGGTACTGTTTTTTCCAAGTGCTTCAGTTTCTACCAGTTACTGACATGCAATTTCTCCGTTCTTCTCTCTATCAACCCAACTAGAAACATGCCACTTGGAATTTCTTCGGCATACTGTCCAAACATGTCCTCTTGTCAGCTCATTCAGCCGTTGTGCAATGGAGGGGGCTATATTTCCACCATCGATGCACGATTCTTACCAACCACACAGCCCACATACATCACTGGATGTCCAACTTTCATTTCTGGTGCAGCAATGGTTGGCGCGACAAATCAACCAGATTTTATCCCAGAAACCATCAGTTTACAGCCTTTGGATTCGCTCGGTGGTGGATGTTTGTTCACCACTGCAGACGGACACCAAGTAACCACAGTGCCGCAAATTGCCACTCTGGACTTGACCAACGGTATGCCGCATCATCTGACAACACCAAGTATTTACTCCGGCGACGCAGCCAGTGGAACCAGTTCAGTGGACCAAGTACAAAGCTATATGAACCACAATAAGGGCGAGCTGTCGGACAATGCCCGGTCCCCATCGCACTCTGGCAGTGGCAGTATGCAGTTTCGGCAACAGACGGTAAATTTGCCGTCGTCTATCACCTTGGGGGTTCAGCCAGAACTACACGGAATTAGTTACGTCATCAACGAGCACACGACCAACGTTTGATGACCTAAAGCAAACTCGTGGAGTTCATCAACCCGCTGCCAGTAGCAAAATATCAGACTTCGTTTGAGTGCCTTACAAACCGTGAGCTCAGAGTGCGTGCTGCGCTATCCACCCTTTTGGTACTTTCCCATTTCGATGTGAATTCAGCAAAACTTGCCAAATTTCGTTCGTTCTTACTTCTGTCTTCCAACGAAACTTATGTTATTGCAGATAATCCGGTTAATTCAGAATACACACACATCCACTGTTCATTTTACGCCTGTTATGCCCAAACAGTACTCCGCAAATTTGTTTTAAATAACTGCTGGCGCAACATTGCCTCCTTTCTTGTCCAATCAATTTTAACCCACTCTTTTTAGAACAGTCAGAAGTTTAAAAGTTTTGTAAATAATACGTTCAGCGAAATCAACCTTTGTTCAAGAACTCTTGTTTCTTCACATTCAAGGTAAGGTGTGATCCATAACAGTGCTGCTCATATCGAGCCATGCGAATGTCCAGGAACGCCGTCAAAAAAGTTTGCATCAAACGGACTTCTAATTGTACCTCTTGGGGCTGCCATTTTTGTTCGTCTGTTTGTAGGTCGGTAGCGCACCATGGCTAAGAGCGATGACAATCGGTTTTACGGTTTAGTTCTAGCAGTCCTCCATGAATTGAGTGTAAACAGGCAACGAAGCATTCGTGGACCAGTTCATTGTCCTTTCCGTTCAGAAAGCGTCCTGGTTGGAAATACTTGCTTTGACGAGTAATCGTACAGTCATGACGTCGCTCCGGTCGCTCTGGTAATCATGACGTCGACTTAGGTTTCTCTGGGACGGCATGAGGGAATCCTACTTCCGGAAAAACAGTGTTGCACCTTGGACCATGAAATTTTATGGGTCATCCGTTTCAACAGAAGTAACTCTAGAGTAATTATCGTTTTTTCGCGTACCCTCGGATACGAATTACTAGTGAGGATATTCACAAAAGTCGATGTGAAGCGATAAGTAAGGTTAGACGAGTAAAGTGCATATTGCAATTCGTCGTTCAGCTGTAGCACCATTTTGGCGCCTAACTGCCGTGCCACCAGAAGGAAGCATGAAAGCTGGGATACTGTTTGGTTGAGCAAGCCTAGGAAGGGGAAGTCGAGAGGCAGTTGTCTAGTTCGATCCAAAGACCTTCCGGTTAGTAAATTCGCGCCGTGACCACTGAGCTACCTCGGCCCATTGTCACTGCTCTTTCGTCCAGGCTAAACAATCGATATAAGTCAAACACAATGTGATCATCTGCTGACGCGTTATCTATTCTTATGAATGCAAACTGTATTCACCGTGCTGACACGGATCACTAATTTGCCCACAACAAACGTTCAGCCTGATTATCATGGTACGATGCTGACCTTGAGACCGCGATTGCTCTCCGCTTTCTGGGCTGGTTGTGGATAAGGCTCACTGTCTTGCGTGCTGCTGGTGCACTTTTATGACCGGTAATACATCAGCAACAGACACTTCTTTGTTCCACTTGTCGCGGTTGATTTATGAGTCCTCGTTTTATCAAACGAAAGCATCCGCATTCTATCCCGTTAGTACCGGCAGTCTCGTCGGCATGATGAGACGTTTCGGTAAAACCTTCATAGGCAAGCTTTCGCAAAGAGCCAACCTTAACGAGAAGTGAGAAAATATAGTTCTTGTAATAGAAAACTACTGATGGAAGGGAAGCTAAGTACGACCAGGAAGTGGTTGGTTTTCTTTGGAAAATTCGGCACACGTACAAAATGGAAACAACACAGCTTTGCGTGTTTTAGGTAGAGAAGCCCAAAATCTATACACACTTTGACTAACTGCGCGAAAGAGGGGGGAAATGTCATCTATTTGAGACCTTTGATGAGAATTGAAAATGCTTGGAATGGGTTAGCTAGCTGGTTGCAAATCAGGTTGGAATAACAACGCTTCCCAGCTCAAAACCCAGATTTATAAGGCACAACTCAGTTGATTTTCTCAACACATTTTATGTCATTGATCTCGACCGGTCGCTTTTGCAAGCTTTTGCGCTTCGAGGGACTCCATTCTGAGAAGTTTCGGTCCTTTGACAGGTAAAAGTTTCGGCATACAGAGCATCGGACTTATGTTCGCCTTTTCATGTATCATTCCAATTTGTGGTAGCACATAGTTGAATGGACCTCCACTGCCGATTTCATCAGCTTTTGTTTCAGACATTTATCGTTTGGAACAGCTAAAAAGGAAAAGAGAAAGTGTTCACAAAGGAAACTTCAAGATGGAGAAACTGAGACAGTGACAGGACTTTAAGAGTTTAGTCATCTCCCTGGAGTGGTCCAAGACTTATTTCGTGTAATATTGTACTTGGAACAAGACTGCTCTGAGGATGACGGTCTAACGATCTGCTTTCAAAACACTTTGCACGGTGAGACATGCTTCCTTCTAGGAAAAGTGCCTTCAAGGAAAAGACGTGGAAAGCCAGGTTGGAAAGTACCTTCTCTACAAGTGGCATCTCATTCTTGGACTACAGCTTTGCTCACTCAGGTGATGAGGGGAATATGAATGAAATCCGTAATATCACTTTAGAGCAGACTTCTGTGGTGCGTATATTGGAGAAAAGAGTCACTCTTCGCCTGAAACTGACACTGTGGTGTATGAGCAGGAGTGTGCTTACCTCCGTCATAACACCGCACCTCAAGTGCCTATTTCATGGCTAAAACCTATGATAAATCATATCAGAACATCCTGCCAGCTCAAGCAAACAGAGGACACTGTCACAGTCAGCATATTATGAAAGAATGCTTTATACTGCTTTTCAAGATTACCAGGCGTACAATAACAGTCCAACTAGAAGACCTCAAGGTTGAAATTTGTCTCTGATCCCAGAGAATGCATATTTTGAATCATGAACAGACTGCAGTATCCTAATACATTTCCTAACACATCCATGTGCCCGAAAATGAGAGCCGACAACCCCACCGGCATGCATGCTGGGTGTTTTTTTCATTTGAAGTAACTGCGGCACAGCCAAATGCCCGTTTTATAATCACTTCGTCACTAATCCGTTGACACCAGATAACGCATCGGAGGTCCAGGTCGCCTCACACTATCATTTATTTTTGAAGAGCATGGTCATAATCACTTAGTCACTAATCCGTTGACACCAGGTAACGCATCGGTGGTTCAGGTCGCCTCACATCACCTGTCCGCAGATACCACTTCTCGCAGCCATACAACAGCAACGCAGCCCTTGCTGTAGCCTAGAACAGGTGACTCTGCAGATCCAGCGTTATGCTTTTTTGATGCCACAAGTAGCGCACGTTAGCTAATGTGATTTGAGCCCTTGAGATTCGTATTCTGACTTCATCAGACATATTTTCTTCAGAGTTAATACAACAATCAAATTATGTAAAATTCTTCACAACCTCTGGTGATTCTCCTTCTAAGGGTACGTTCAGAGTCTATAGGTTCCAAAGCATGACTTTGCACTTTGAAGATGCAAGGCGCGTGCCAAATAGTGATATGACGGTTTTCAGTTCATTCAAGAAGGTTTGCGCTTTGCTTTAGATGCCTCTCTAAAGTTTTTTGATACCAGCACCTGGTTTGCAAAGCAAATAAGTGAATAAAGCACGTTATCTGGAGTCGGAAAGAGCAAGGAATCCGGATTGTTATCTCATCGTACCCTAATCGGACAAATTTCAGCTACTAATCTAAATAATTATGCTTTTTCAGGTGACGCTTTAAAAGAAGACGGATTCGGAATACGACTGGTTTTCAAGGCAGGATGCGGTAACGTATATAATGGTTGAAGGCCTTCTGAATGGCTCGGGTAGACGATATACATCTCTAGCCTTTCATGGTGTATAGGTCGTTCACTGGGGTTTGGATGAATGTGTCGTCCACATGACAATTTTTGACTGGCTTAATTGCTTTTCGATCAACAGGAGTAAACAGTTGCATTCAAAATTCTAGATTAACTCTTGAGGAACTTGAAGAAGTCCCCCGATAGTTTACTTCCAATAAACAACACACGTTGAATCATCATAAACAGTTAGTCGAACTGAGTTGTTGAGGTGTTGTTAAAGCACGCCAGTCAAAATACGCTCTAAAAGACTCACAATAGGCACGCTCCTAAAATACGAACACCGATAGCCGACAGAAGGTACTCAAATTGGTTGCTTGTCAAATCAATGCAACTCTTAGATATGTGGGCAAAATCAATGGAAGTCTAGCCACATGCAGGACATAAAAGGCATAAGTTACTGTATCCGACCAATAGGGTCCAAACGTTGTTCACTGGCTGATTTGCTGATTACGCAAATGCACTGTCTAATACCACCGCAATAACTAATGATCACGTTTAGGTGTATAAGTGATTACAAAAAAGTAATCCGCCTAGAATGACGTCGTACAGGAGGACAACTAGAGCTTAGCTATCTACAATGAAGGCCGACACCAAGCTAGATAGTTTTTGAGTAGTCTAGTCAAACAGTGTGGGAGCCTTGGTGCTGATTGTGCAGCAATGGTAGCAGAAAGCTTAAATCAAGTGAACGGATCATGCCCTCGCTTCTTCCGCAGGTAGCAGAGAAATTCAACCTGTGTTCGTCACTTAATTACCATTGAGTCAAACCGTCCGAACTCTAAACCTTTGCTACGCTCAGGTATCAGCCACTTTAAAGGATTGACTGAGCAGATGTTTGGAGCCTTTAGATTTTAGTATGGACTATTGATTCTCAAAGCCTGTTGCAGGACGCTATTTTACACCAAAAAAGTCGGTGGACGTAAGACAACCCGTCCACTCATTGTACTTAAAGCACGTACTATAACTTCTTCGTGAAGTGTATTGTATTTTAGCTAGCAAATGCAGATACTTCTGGGTACACGTTTTGACTCACCATCTTGGAAACAAAACCGGAGTTCTTCTTGCTGTAGCTTCATTCGAGTTAAAGGAAGGCGTGCAGTTCAACATCTCTGTTTACATCTCTGTTTACTTAGCTTTCAGGGGAACTCGGACCCTTTATTTGTGCCAGTACTATTTAGGTCCTCAGGTTGCGCTATAAAACCATTCTTAGATGGCCTCCATCCTTCACCGAGGAAAATAGTGTGGTGCAGAAGAGGCAGGTGAAAAAGTTATTTTGCCTTCATTTCTAGCGTCTTGGTGCCCGGCAAGTCACTTTTTGTTCAATATCCCGCGTACTGATATGGCATACTTGGGATGCCCGGACCAACTCTTAAGAACTAAGCTCTGGTTTTCCCAGTGGTTCGTATAAGATGTTACACTTATATGACACTAGAAACTGAACGTGCCAGTAATAAGCTATGCAAGTCCAAAACAGTCCGGTGAACAAAAGTTAAATTGGTATACTCAGCATGGTTCCCAA